GTTGGCCATGTTTTCTTCATCATTTTTCACATCATTTCTTCCAAATACTTACCGTCAACTCTCTCTTGGTTATTAGGAACTTCCGGAGGTTATTTCCAAGAAGATTGGGCATAGGAAGCTCAAAGTTGATAGGGGTGACCGTACGTTGAACGTTCGTTGAAGCGTATTATTATCTTTCTATCTTTCCGACCTCTACGATATCAAGGCGAGTACATTGCACTCTAGTAACGCAATCCTTGGTTGAATATCAATCTAGATATATCATTAGGATTGATTGTCATATTATAAGTCATCTATGTTTTAAGATCGAACTTATCAAACTCATAACATTGAAAAATATGTTTTTCTTAATACTCTTCCATACATGAATATACATAAGTGTTAAGAATACTTCAAATACAAAGATATGTTAATCATAGGTGTTAAAATGACTCAAAGAAGTATTTTAGATATCCAAAAATATCAAAAATTAGATTCGCAGACCCGAACGGTCGACGTAAACGGTCAACCGTCGCGTTGGACATCGAAACGGAGCGCGTTTGTCACACACACGGTCGACAACCGGTGGCCAAAAGTCGACCGCTGCCTGCCCAGCCGAGGACCACCATTCTCATCCAGTCAACAATGGTCGACCGCCGGTCAATCGCGGTCGACCGTCACAGTGATCCGCCAATCCGACGAAATGAAGATCGAGGTCGACCGCCGTGCCAAATGGTCGACCGTTCCGAGCCCCGTAGCTTATTTAAATGATATTTTTACCATGTTTCACCCAAATAAATTAATGTATGATTACATATTCATATTGTTTACAAATTGTTCATATCATATGATTAATTTCATCATCCATATTGAAGAATATCATATCATATGCATGCATAAGAGATCAAGCCTCATGCGTCTCTTATAGCGTGATTGTGCGGGACTTAGCAGTCTGACCGCCAACCCAGTCTGTGGCGTCTAGTGGTAAGTCAAAGACTTCTAGTTTTCCGCCATGTGCTACCTGCGGAAGGACAAATCCAGGCGAGTGTTGGTACGATCAGGGATTGTGTCTAGGTTGTGGGCAGGCTGGCCACTTCCAAAGGAACTGTCCCACTAACCCGAGCACTACCCATGTGCAAGCAACACTCGTAGTCAAACGATCGCACCACAACCAAAGCAAAGTCAACATATGACTCCAGAAACAAATCAACAAAGAAATCAGAATCAACAGCCAGGACAAGATTAAGCGCGCACTTATGCAATGATAGGATGCGCTGATCCTCAAGACAACAAAGCTTTTGATGGTACGCTTCATAAGTTAACTTGACTGCAATTAGTTGACTTGAATGTGTTTCCCATGTGCTTATTGATATGCGCATATTTTATAAACTTTTTAGGCATATTTTGAAGGAGTTTTGAATCCCAATTGAATTAATGTTTACATTTTATGTCAATTTTCCGTTTTATTTTGGTAGAGCAGTCCTATGCTTGGTTTTATATGTTTTCCAGGTATTTTGAGGTCATTTGGACGCATTGATAATAATTGCAAGAACGAAGAATAAACATGCAAATTCGGGACAAAAAGAAATGGAAGAGATTTGAAGGAAAGAAGGAATTAAATAAAAAGGAAGGGAGAGAAACGCCATTGGGTTTTGAACCCTAGACTACGGGTAGTGGATCCGAAGCTCGACCCATTGCGAACGGTGGGAAGCTTCGAACACGGGTTACGGAGCACGACAACCAGCTGCATTTCCATGTGCGCTACAAGAGATGTTTTGACATATTACACTACTGTTTGTATATACTCCGTATATACGAATTTATCTATAAAATTTCATCTCCTCTCATCTCCTAAGAGGTTGGAACCCACCATTTCTCTCCTCTCTCCAATCCGAAATTCTCCTCCTCCATCACTAATATCTCACCACTTTCTTCATCCAAACACATAAAAATTACTCCATCTTCATCATCATTTATCATATTTGGAGCTCATGAACACATCTTCCATTTTGTAAGATTTTTATGTTTGTAATAAATATTTATTTTTTTAAGCTTCAAACTATGTACATCTAAATTACAATGGGGTTAGAAGTTGGTGTAATTAATTGTCCATCTTAATGTTTTGAATATTTTAATATGGATTGTTAATTTTATTTTATGTAGATGTTGTATTTAAAAATAAATAAATTTGGAATGTTTGTGATTTTTAATCAAGGGCCCAATCATAAACATAATTGTTACAGTAGTGATCCTGAAGAAGAAAGAAGAGAGGATGTCAAAGAAGAAGCTCAGAACAAAGTCAAAGGAGATGCTGCTGAAATGTTGCCGGAGTCAATCCAGATCAAAGAAGGAAAGAAAAAAGAAGAAGAAGGTTTGGTAAGGAAATATGCTCCACCAATTCCTTTTCCAAACCGACTGGCTGTTCAGTAGAACGCGATGTCTTTGAACTGTACTGCCGCTTGTGTAAACGATAGTATACCATACACAGATTCCAACCAAACGTTGTTCTGTTCTCATGGTTGTGCCCATTTTGGTCATGGGACATGCGCCTGGTTCTTCGAGAGTGTTTAGAGGATTAAGCCCAAGATCCTCTGTTTGAAGCGACCACACTTCACTCTTACATAGGTGATTCTTTAAGAGTATCCCGATTACTCCCCTTAGACCACCGTGTCTATTGGTTAAGAATCATTAAAGCATATTTATATGCTAACCTCATCATTTTCGGGAGTCACTGTCTTCAACAGGAACAGAAGGGACTTACCGAAGGTTCCGGTACCGCCCCCACAGTGACCACGCTTTATCCTACAAATAGGTTGTCCCATTGAAGGAAAACCCAGCCAGGTTGGGTTTTCCTTCATAGGACTGTCCTAGCACAAGGGCTTCAGACCCATTCCTGCCACCAACTTCCCATGCAACTCATTTGTTAACCCTTTGGTTAGCGGATCCGCCAGATTATCTTTTGACCTCACATAGTCAATTGTGATAATCCCAGTTGTGAGAAGTTGTCTAATGGTTTTGTGTCTACGACGAATATGTCTAGACTTACCATTATACACATTTGTGGCGTCCTAGTGCTGATTGACAATCACAATAGATGCAAACTGGTGGGACCGGTTTATCCCATCTTGGAATGTCCTCTAGAAAGTGGCGTAGCCATTCAGCTTCCTCTCCACATTTGTCTAGAGCTATAAACTCAGACTCCATAGTGGACCTAGAAATCACTGTTTGCTTTGAGGATTTCCAAGATATTGCTGCACCCGCTAGCGTAAAGACATATCCACTTGCGGACTTCAAGTCTTTACTATCAGATATCCAATTCGCATCCGAGTATCCTTCCAATACCGGTGGATAACTCGAGTAGCATAATCCATAGTCACGTGTATACCGCAGGTATCTCATCACACGTACAATAGCCTTCCAGTGCTCATCACTCGGATTGCTGGTGTATTTACTCTGCTTACTTATGGCACAGGATACATCTGGTCGGGTGCAACTCATTAGATATATCAAACTTCTAATAACTCTAGCATACTCAATTTGAGAGTTACTAGAACCTCGGTTTTTAGCCAGGTGTGCATGTCTAACGGCGTCTTTGCTACTCTAACGTCATCCTTGTTGAACTTGTCAAGGATTTTATCAATATAATGCCTAACCGAGTCACGATCTGGGGGTCCAGAAGAGTGTTAAAATTAAGGTTCTTAATGAAGTCGGTCTGGGTATAGAAAGTACAGTTTAGCGCTCAAATTGTACAGAAACCATCTGAACTGGTAGAACAGTAGCGTACCAACTATGAGTATGTCGTCTACATATAGACACAACATGACATACCCTTGGGATGTGTTTTTTTAGATAAACACACTTGTCTGATTCATTAATTTTGAACCGTGAGTTCATCATTACCTGGTCAAACTTCTCATGCCATACTTTTGGCGCCTGTTTAAGACCATATAATGACTTAACGAGTTTACATACTTGCCTTTCTTGACCAGGAACTATAAACCCTTCTGGTTGTTCCATGTAGATCTGTTCTTCTAGATCTCCATTAAGGAAAGCTGTTTTTCACATCCATTTGATGAACTTCTAAGTTCCACAAGGAAGCTATTGCAAGTATCATCCTAATGGAATTTATCCTTGACACAGGGGCATATGTATCAAAGTAATCAAAGCCCTCACGTTGATTGTAACCCTTAATTACAAGTCTGGCTTTGTAATTATCAATGGAACCATCTGGTTTCATTTTCCTCCGAAAGATCCACTTAGAACCTAGCGGTTTGCAACCAGGAGGTAAATTCACTAACTCCCAAGTGTGATTCTGCATAATAGAATCAACTTCACTTTTAATTGCCTCTTTCCACTGAGGGCCTTCAGACGAAGTCACAGCTTCACGATAAGTTCGTGGTTCATTTTCTAATAAACATGTTAGAATATCGGGTTCAGTCTCTATCAGAAATGATAGAGTCCCTGATTCAAATTCCAACAAATAAGTTAGAAAATCATTACCAAAGGACTTCTTAGTCCGTGTCCTTTTACTTCGTCTAAGTTCAATCTCAGTTTCGGTTTCATCAATTATACCGGTATTAGACTGATCCGAGGAACCATCGTTCAACATTTCATCATGTGAACGTTTGGAAGAACTCGCTTCTTCCCTCAACTTTAACGGAAATATATTTTCGAAGAATGTTGCATTCCTCGATTCCATTATCGTGCTCTTATGTATTTCTGGATTATCAGACCTATACACTAAGAATCGATACGCGCTACCACTGTAGCCAATAAAGATTCCATCAACGGTCTTTGGACCAATCTTTATTTTCTTTGGTGGTGGTGCTAAAACCTTTTCAAGTCACCCCCACACTTTTATGTATTTATAGGAAGGTTTCCTATTATACCACAACTCGTAAGGAGTCTTATCGAGTTTCTTTCGAGGTTTTTTATTTAACAAATAGTTTCTACATAAAATAGCCTCCCCCCACATATTTTGGGGTAGCCCCGAACTAAGCAACATCGCATTCATCATATCTTTGAGAGTGTGATTTTTCCGTTCCGCCACACCGTTTGATTGGGGTGTGTATGGCGGTGTTACTTGATGCACAATCCCTTGTTGTGCACACAATTCGGCGAATGGAGCTTCGTACTCCCCCGCCCCTATCACTCCTAATCGCTTTAATTTTGCGATTGACTTGATTTTCTACTTCATTCTTATACCGAATGAAAGTGTCCAACGCCTCATCTTTACTTTTAAGTAAATAAATATAGCAGTACTTCGTGCTATCATCAACAAAAGTGATAACATATTTGTTACCACGTCTTGAAGGCGTTGATTTGAAATCACACAGATCCGTGTGAATTAAATCCAGTGGCTGAGTGGTTCGTTCAATTATTTGAAACGAACTTTGCGTTGACTTAGCTTCGACACACGTCTCACATTTGTGGGACTGGTCGATGTCAAACTTAGGGATATATTCCATGTTAATTAATTTCCGAAGAGATGCATAATTAACATGTCCTAGTCTTCCATGCCACACATTGGAGGACTCACAAACATAGGAAACAGGAGTTTTATTAATTTTCTCAACAACAGTGAGTACATTAAGCTTAAAAAGCCCATCAGAAATATAACCTTTGCCTATGAATATTCCCTTTTTGCTCAAGATCAGCTTATCAGACTCGAACACCATGCGGAATCCATGTTTGTTTAATAGTGAGCCTGACACCAAGTTTTTTCGTATGTCCGGCACATACAACACATCATTCAGCGTGAGCTCCTTGCCGGATGTCATCTTGAGCTTAACTTTGCCCACGCCTTGAACTTCGGATTGGGCGGAGTTGCCCATCCACACCTTGTCGCCAGAAGTCTCCTTAAAGTCAAAGAGCATGGCCCGATTGGAGCAGATATGACGAGTGGCTCCGATGTCAACCCACCACTCTTTCGGGTTAGACCCAACCAGGTTGACCTCTGTCACGACAGCACAAAGGTCCATAGCATCTAGCTCCGAGCAGAGAGCTTCTTCCTTCTTCTGCTTCTTCTTCTGAGGCTTCTTGTAGCATTTCCCCGCGAACTTGGGCTTCGCGACGCCTCCTTTAGGACCAATCTTCTTCTTGTCCTTATTCGGCTTGGGCCCTTTGGAAGAACCCTCTTTGGATGGATGCTCCACCACATTGGCCTTAGCAACAGCTACTTTCTTCTCGCGAGTGAGGCCCTCTTCACGGATCCGGAGACGAACAAGCAACTGTTCTAAAGTCATTTCTTTCCGTTTGAGCTTGAGATAGCTTCGGAACTCATCCCAAGCTGGCGGGAGCACATGAATAATCGCCGCCACTTGGAATGCCTCAGTGACTCCCATTCCCTCATCAATGCACACATTAAAAATGAGCCTTCATGGCATATAAGTTACAAAATGAAGAGCCATGAAAATGCCTATTTAAATGGAGGGACTCTTCTCATTTTTCCTTGAGTGCTCCACGTGAGAAACAAAAGAGAAAAGAAAGGAAATCTTTCTTGTTTATTTTTGAGAGAGCTCTTGGTTTTTCCGGCCATTCCCTTTAAAGTTTTTGGTCGCCAACGTTCCTACGTTGTTCTTGTTCGTTGGTGTGTGGTTGGTCCGTACAATCTCCACACACGATAGCGGTTTTATCCTGGGAGGAGAGTGCCCACGTATTTCCAGTACGGTAGGCGGGCACTACTACCTTAAGGACAGCTCCGGCGACTCCGCTGTCCTTCCACAGTGTTGTGTTTTGCAGGTTCAGTTCTTAAAGACCTCGCTGCATTCTTTCCTAGTGCATAATGTCCTCGCAGCCCAGTGCATAATGTCCTCGCAGCCCTGTGCATTACGTCCTTGAATCGTTGTCCAAGACTTAAAGACCTCGCTGTCCAGTGCTTAAAGACCTCTCTGTCTAGTGCTTAACGTCCTCGCTGTCCAGTCCTTAATGTCCTCGTACAACATGGCCGTTTGAAGATTAGCAATTTATTTTCAACTTTGTTTATTTTGTAATATTCTGAATAAATTATAAATTCAGAATTTTATTTATTTTATTTTCCGGGGCCGTTCATCTTCCCCGTCCGTTGTAATCCGTACAAAAATTATAACACAAATCAACTTCCAACTTGGCACCGTTGTCGGGGAGACGGTTTGAGTTTTTTTAAACATAAGTTTTATTGTTTATTTGTTGTAAATATTTGTTATTATTTTGTTTTCCCTAACCTCTTCCTGCAGGTACTAAAAAAAACAAAAAAAACCTAAAAAAAACTAAAACAAAACAAACAAACAAAAAAATTAACCAAAACAAAAAAAAAGTGAAAAAAAATTCCTTTGAGTTCCTTTACTCTTGAACACTTATTGGACTTGTACATGTTGACTTGGACATATTGGACATACTTGGACATATTAAACTATCCTACAGGTCGGATTTTCCGCCAACGGTGATTGGACAATTTTTTTTCTTTCTTTATTTTGCCCACTAATCCGCAAAGCCGTCACATGGTTTGTACATTTATTTACTGCACTTTACATTTCTGCATTTTTTTGTTTTTTTCTAGGCGTGCAAAGCCGCTATTGGACATTATATCTATATACTATATATTATATATACTATATATTATATATTATATATATTATAAATATTATATATATATATATATATAATATTATATATTATATATATTATAAATATTATATATATATATATATATATATATATAATATTATATATTATATATATTATAAATATTATATATATATATATATATATATATATATATATATATAATATTATATATTATATATTATATATATTATACATATTATATATCTATATATTATTACTAACTCTTTTTATTTTTTTTAGTGTCCTCGTTGGTTTATTACCACTTGGCACTCTAACCGCTAACTACTAACTAAGGTATCACTTGTCTCGGTGGTTTTTACCTCCTGACTTAAGTGAGAGCCTTTTTATTAATTTTTGCACCTTACATTTTTTTTCTTCTTTTCCTTTCCCCCTTTCCCTTCTCTTTTCTTTTTTTCCCCTTTCCCCCCCTTTACTTTCCTTCTATTCCCTTTTTCCCTTCTCCCTTTTCTCACTCCAACCTTCCCAATCCCTTTCTTTTTATGCTAACGCGTTCACGTGGGATTAATCAAGAAAAACTTTTCTTTCTAGAAATTGAAAAACATTTGAAAGAAATAAGAAAAAGAAAGAAAATGGAAGTCCCACGGAACAATGTTCTTGAAACTGTATAGGAAATTCCAAGAAGACAAAATGAAGTTCCGAATAGGAGGACTCTTTCTGACTATGTCACTCCTCCTGTGGCGGAACATTACATCATTATTCCACCAGATGTCACAGCAAAGAACTTTCAAATCAAACCTGTTGTCATCCACATGGTCTCATCTGATGAGTTTGGTGGAGGACCAACGGAGGACCCACACAACCATATCACCAAATTCCTCTGAGCATGCAACACGTTCAAGATCCATGGTGTGCAAACTGATGCAATCAGACTCCGTCTGTTCCCGTTCTCTCTGAGGGACAGAGCTCAAAGCTGGATTCATTTCCAGACAATCACTTCACAACTTGGGACCAGCTTCACGGAGAATTTCTCAAGCGATTCTTTCCGCCTTCCAAAACAGCAAAAATCAGGTGGATGATACAAAATTTCAAGCAAAATCCAAACGAGCCCCTTTACGAGGCTTGGGAGAGATTCAAAGATCTTCAAAGGCAATGCCCACATCAAAATATCCAAAGCTGGCACCTAATGACGGCTTTCTATGAAGGCCTAAATGAAAACTCACGGATATTGTTGGATACCTCGGCGAGCGAATCATTCATGAGCCTTGAACTTGACGAAGCTGAAGAACTCATTCAGCGGATCTCAACAAACGGATCTACTTGGTACTCTGACCGTCCATCCGCTCAACCAAAAATTGGAGGCATGTACGAAGTTGATCAAATGTCGGCCATGGCTTCTAAGGTCGACAACATGATGAGCATGATCCAAAAGATTGCTCAAGTCTCTGCTGTGCAAAACACTACGCCAGCACAACCTCATGTTCCTGTTCTCAAGTGTATCATGTGGTGGACAACATGATCAATCTTTGTGTCCATGGGATGCAATGGAGCAAGTTGATTATGTCAACTATAATCGGCCGCAGGAACAACAAAACCCATTTGGTGGATTTAATTCTCAAAACAGAAATCATCCTGGTTTCTCTTAGAGCAATCCAAATGGAGCTGCCAATCCACAAGCTTATCGGAGTCCACCACCCGGCTTTCAAAATCAACAGCAACAACAATTTAGAGGAGGCCAAGGTTTTGCTAACAATCATCAGTTTAAGCAAAACCAAAGCTTCCCCTATGTTTCCAATCAACAAAAGTCGATCCTGCCAACTCCTGAAACAACATAAGCTCCCGGCTTGGATAACATTGTTGATCAGCTACTCAAATCTCAACTAGCCCAAGCCGAAACCTTGAAGAAGATTCCTAAAGAGCTTACTCAACTTCGAGCTCACAATAGGATGCTTGAAAATCAAATCTCTAGTCAAGCATCAACATCATCAACAAATGTGACTAGAAAATTGCCAGCATGTCCCGAGAATCCAAGAGAGCAAATGAATGCTATCACTACTCGGAGTGGGAAACAAATTCAATCTCCATCTCTTCCGAGTAGTGATCCTGAAGAAGAAAGAAGAGAGGATGTCAAAGAAGAAGCTCAGAACAAAGTCAAAGGAGATGCTGCTGAAATGTTGCCGGAGTCAATCTAGATCAAAGAAGGAAAGAAAAAAAAGAAGATTGTTTGGTAAGGCAATATGCTCCACCAATTCCTTTTCCAAACCGACTCGAGAAATCACATATTAAGGAACGAAGAACAAATTTCTTGAACTGTATCAAGCAATTGGATATCTCTATTCCTTTACTTGATGCCATACCGAAATTCCTTCATATGCCAAATTTCTTAAGGAGATCTTAACAAAGAAGAAGGAAAATCCTCCCACGGTGGCCATGAGTCAAGAGTGCAGTGCCATTATCTAAAATAAGAGCACACCAAAACTACGTGATCCTGGAAGTTTTTCAAATCCATGCTACATTAGAGGATCTAAAGTAAACAAAGCTCTTTGTGATCTTGGTGCAAGTGTTAGCTTGATTCCATACTCTCTGTGTCAAAAGCTACACTTGGGTGATCCAAAATCGACAACCATGGCGCTACAATTGGCTGATCGCTCTATGAAGTATCCAATCGGCATTCTTGAAGATGTTCCTGTGAAGATTGATAAATACTATATTCCAGGAGACTTTGTTGTCTTGGATATGGAAGAAGATGCCCGAGTTCCTATCATTCTTGGGAGACCATTTCTAGCCACTGCTGGAGCAATCATAAACGACTGCACTATCCCACTAACCCGAGCACTACCCATGTGCAAGCAACACTCCTAGTCAACCAAAGCAAAGTCAACATATGACTGCAGAAACAAATCAACAAAGAAATCAGAATCAACAGCCAGGACAAGATTAAGCGCGCACTTATGCAATGATAGGATGCGCTGATCCTCAAGACAACAAAGCTTTTGATGGCACGCTTCATAAGTTAACTTGACTGCAATTAGTTGACTTGAATGTGTTTCCCATGTGCTTATTGATATGCGCATATTTTATAAACTTTTTAGGCATATTTTGAAGGAGTTTTGAATCCCAATTGAATTAATGTTTACATTTTATGTCAATTTTCCGTTTTATTTTGGTAGAGCAGTCCTATGCTTGGTTTTATATGTTTTCCAGGTATTTTGAGGTCATTTGGACGCATTGATAATAATTGCAAGAACGAAGAATAAACATGCAAATTTGGGACAAAAAGAAATGGAAGAGATTTGAAGAAAAGAAGGAATTAAATAAAAAGGAAGGGAGAAAAACTCCATTGGGTTTTGAACCCTAGACTACGGGTAGTGGATCCGAAACTCGACCCATCGCGAACGGTGGGAAGCTTCGAACACGGGTTACGGAGCACGACAACCAGCTGCATTTCCATGTGCGCTACAAGAGATGTTTTGACATATTATACTACTGTTTGTATATACTCCATATATACGAATTTATCTATAAAATTTCATCTCCTCTCTTCTCCTAAGAGGTTGGTACCCCCCATTTCTCTCCTCTATCCAATCCGAAATTCTCCTCCTCCATCACAAATATCTCACCACTTTCTTTATCCAAATTTGGAGCTCAAGAACACATCTTCCATTTTGTAAGATTTTTATGTTTGTAATAAATATTTATTTGTTTAAGCTTCAAACTATGTACTTCTAAATTACATTGGGGTTTGAAGTTGGTGTAATTAACTGTCCATCTTAATGTTTTGAATATTTTAATATAGATTGTTAATTTTACTTTAACAATCTATACCGAAATTCCTTTATATGCCAAATTTCTTAAGGAGATATTAACAAAGAAGAAGGAAAATCCTCTCACGGTGGCCATGAGTCAAGAGTGCAGTGCCATTATCTAAAATAAGATCACACCAAAACTACGTGATCTTGGAAGTTTTTCAATTCCATGCTACATCGGAGGATCTAAAGTAAACAAAGCTCTTTGTGATATTGGTGCAAGTGTTAGCTTGATTCCATACTCTCTGTGTCAAAAGCTACACTTGGGTGATCCAAAACCGACAACCATGGCGCTACAATTGGCTGATCGCTCTGTGAAGTATCCAATCGGCATTCTTGAAGATGTTCCTGTGAAGATCGATAAATACTATATTCCAGGAGACTTTGTTGTCTTGGATATGGAAGAAGATGCCCGAGTTCCTATCATTCTCGGGAGACCATTTCTAGCCACTACTGGAGCAATCATAAATGTGAAGAAGGGTACACTCATCCTTGAAATCAGGGATGACAAGATCGAGTTCA